TCAAAAAGAATCGTAATCAATAATCACGTTGATCCAATGTAATGTACAAATAAATGAGATACAAATTGATAAACTCCTAGCGTTTTGCTAATTAAGGGTCTCCCCACCCCTCCCCCTCTCTTTTAATCTTCTACTCAAACATTTTTAAAATAAATAAGCCTTCAAAGGGCTTTACAGAGCAGTTACTCAATTTAAGGTAACGTATACTTTTGTTTTCAATATACTCTTCGAATGACGGTTTGTGGTAAATGTTTAGATATGGTGGACGATACATTTCAGAATCCAAGTCATAAATATCTTTAAAACGTCGTGCCCTTGCCATAATAAGATTGACGTATTTAAAATGATCTTCTCTTGACATCTTGATTGGTTTGTCAGCACAATGTTAAAATCAACTGTTATTTCTAAAGAAACTCGTCCTTTACGCATTTGTTTCATGTCAACGATGGACACGAGCCCAGCACCTGACCAATCAGCATCAGCACGTGCACCTGTGGAAAGAGCACGTGAATGCCACAAAAATCACGTGATTGGGAAGGACGGCTCATATTTTGGTATTGAGAGGGAAGCGAGTTCCCGAAGGACATTGCTATCTGTATATAAAATATTTAATCCTCTGCTGGTTCAATCTCTGTCGTAGGATAGAATCGGTGAGAGCCATTTTTCGATTTCTTCCACAGGCATTCCTTTTCGCTCGGCATAATCGGTTACCTAAACAACAACAACAATAACAAAATAATTAATCAATGGAGATTGATAAATGTCGACAAACTGTTTATTTCCGGCGAATGTTGTCAGTCCAATATTGCACAAGTGGAAATTGGTTCTAAATTTCCAGATGACCCGTAGCTCTTTAAAACTTCTATTTTGATTCGTCCTTGTTAATCTGCACCTCTTTTGTTTTTAGGGCTAGGGGCAGTGTTTGTCTTGCATACCTATTGTTTCGTTAGGCGAATCATGAAGACCCTTGTAAACGATGCGTGGTCGCCCTAAATTTCTAAGCCTGCAGGTTAAGCCCCAGTTTATGTGATTTTATGTTTCCCACTATTTTGCAAACAAAAAGTTGGAACTTTTTTAGGTTTAAAGCTTGTTGACAAACGATTAAATGCTGTCTTACTTCGTTTGATTATTAAGCGTAT